CTTCTGATCAAGGTGCTTGGGCAAAGGCTACTAATGCAGCAGAAAGGCCTATGAAACATACTGAGAGCTCAGGACATGGTCGTAAGTTCTCTGAGAAGAGTGTGCATGAAGGTCATTTAATTCAAAAAGATAACCCTTCTAGGGACACTCTAAATGAGGATGGTTTAATGAAGGACAAAAAGTTACCAAGAAATACTAAGGAAGGTGGTGCTGGAGGTAAAAATGCTGTGCCCTCTGATTTTCATCACAGGAAACTTGGTGAAACTGTTGGAAAGTTCAAGGATGCTGGACAAATTTCAAGCTCATATATTAATTCTTCCCCAAAGGATAACAGCAGGGTTACTGCAGATAGATATCCAGTAAATGGGAAAGGCAATATGCTCCAAAGAGAGCTTTCACACTTAGAGTTAGGTGAGATTCGTGAGCCGTTGGTTGAGGAAACTCCAATAAAGAAGCAATTTGAGAGAAAAAGTTCCTTTAAACAGTCAGGCAGCGGACCAAGCACCTCAGAGAACTTTAATCCTGATCTAAGCAGGGGCAAATCTGTTGGGAAGACAAATTGGGATTCAGGAAAGCCATCTTCACCCAATCTAAGTGGGCTTAGAAGAACCCCGGAATATCATGTTGAAGATTTGACAAGATCGCATCATAGGGTTGTTCAGTCTCAACCGCAACATCTCTCAAGAGTAGACCGTCCAGAAGTTGGGTCACACTCTAACAAATTGACAGATACTAGTAGTAAAACCAGACAGATTGAAACTGGTGCAAAACTGGGAGTTGGTCTGGAGGGTTATGGTGAAAGCCACAAGAAAGCACCAGCTAGTGCCTCACAACTGCAAGAATCAAAACGAGGATCAGTGTCCCAGGTCATAAAGGACAGTAAAACTCTTGCATCTAATAAAACGGTGGATGTGACTGATGGGCGTAAGGATACAGTTTTGGCAGAGGGCAATGTTAATGGTCGAAAGAAAAGGGGTTCTTCTTCTGATGAAGAGTGTTGTCCTTATTCTAAGTATGAAAAAGATGAGCCAGAGTACAGGGGACCAATCAAGGATTTATCTCAGTAAGTAGTTATATTTGTTGATGTATCTGTTTGACTGTTTCTTTTAAATGATCATGGCCATGTTGAATTTTAGAGGACTGTGACATCTAATTGAAACTAACTATTTTTTGTGTTTTTTATGTTAGGTATGAAGAATATATGAATGAGTTTCGTGAGAAATATGAATCTTACAATGACTTGGACAAGACCCTACAAACCTACAGGTATTATTTGGAATTGCTTTGCTCATTGATGAGGTCTGGCTGCATTTTGTATTTTTGTTCTGACTTGTTTGATGAACTGCTGTTTGGCATAACCTCTCATTTATAGGAATGACTTTGAAAAGCTGGGTAAGGACCTCGAATATTCGAGAGATAGGGACATGGATAAATATTATAGGACCTTGAATCTATTGCTGGAGTCTTATCAACAGTGTGGAATGGTATATTTCTCTATCCAGTTTCTTTATGATATATCCTTTTTCTTATTGATAGTGGAATGTCTCTAGACATGGAACTGCCTGACAAGATTTTGTCTCATCATTCTATTTGCCTGATAAATTGAATTTCAGTGTAATATAAAGTTTTAATATTAATGCAGTTTAGAGTTAGGATTCTGTCTACATGGCCATACATTTATATACAGTGATTTAATGTAGTAAGAAGATGATAAATGGCTGAGAAGCAAGCAGTCTTCTCTTATTTAAGGAGGATATTCAGATGATGAGCAGAACAGTGTGATGGATAAGATCATTTACTAGTGTCGAAATTACTTTCTCATGTGATTGTCTGGAAGAAGTTTGTGCATGATAATAATTGGATAACAAGCAGAATCTTTTGTGGTTGCAGTCTTAATGAACTCGAATGGTATCTGTTGCTTTGATCTTGTCTGAAAATTTCAGTATTTTCTATTATTGAGAAAAGCAAGGAGTGTTGAAAATGTCTCTGTTATATGCCTTATCACCTGGCTTCAGAAATGCTCCTAGTATTTGCTTGAGTCATGCCTATCCTTCTTTTACTTCTAAAATTGAAAATTTTCCTGTAGGATTTCTGTTCTGACTCAAGTACTGTTTTGATTTGCAGATGCACAAAAGACTGAAGAAAATATTTGTTGTGCTCCATTATGAATTAAAGGTGATTGCTAGTACTATATTTTAATCTCTCTCTCTCTCTCCCCTCTCTTCCCTTTCCTTATGATTAGTAATTCGGAAGTTCTCCCTTATTGCAGAACCTTAAGCAGAGGCTTCAAGAGTATGCTCAGTCACATTCAATAGATTGATAGTGAATTATGCCAAACTTCTCCCGACAGATTGAATCCTCTTCTTTCACATCTAAGCTGCAATCAGCGATACCTATTTCTCCATTGCCTTGCAGGGGGATTCACGCAACAGTGATATGTTGCTTTTCTTCTCTAAGATTGGAGCACTTGTAAATGGTTATAGATGGTTCAAGGTGATATGATTACATCACATTCTAGTCCATGGCCATTGAGGGTAAAAATTGAAGTTTGGCTCTACCCAAATTGGGTGTGTGTATAATGTGTAGAATTTTGGCTTTTGGCCCTCAATTTTGTAGATTTTTTTTGACAGCTTGCTTTAGTTTTGCTTGCAGCCAACAATTTATTACAATGTGTATACAAATGATTGAAAAAATAAGAAAAGGAAAAAAAAAAAAGATGCTCAAGCATTGTTTAGACTTCAGCTCAATAGGAATATAATACTTTTTATCCCTTGCATCAAGATGGATCTTGTCTAGTACTAGAAAGGTATTTGTGGCTGTAACTGTAACATGCCAATACCAATAAGTGTACGTATATGACAGGCATTTTGAGGATGGTGGCAAGCAAGTTACTGTAGGCAATATATAAGAGCACTTTGGACTACCACAAAACAGAAACTTTAAAGCATCACCCCTTTTTAAGTTGGTGCTTCTGGTTATAAATAGTTATATAAACCATGCCTGATCTGTTGGGTGCTACCCCAGAGTTAAGATTCATAGTTTAACCCTATAATTTTTGGAACAAAGTAAAGGAAAGATCAGATGGGATTGCAATTCCCATTTGTTAACATACTAAGTAGCAGCAGCACTACATTTTTATGTTCTTGTTTTGCTTTCCTAACACTTGAGACAGGTTGAAGAGTTTCTCCATAGCATAGCCTCGGCATTTCACTTTAGGGCCTTTGTTGTCACAGATTATATTACCAGTCTGGAAACCAGAATCTTATCTTCATGTATACCGCTTGGAGGTGCTGTTGAAATTTTCCTTGCATGATTGTAATTGGATAATGAAGACCCTTTCTATACAAGCTTTTTAATTCCAAGCAATATTGTGATTCATTTCTAAATGAATCTCATTAATAAATTCGCTACTAAACGTTCCCAAATTAAATGAATTTAGCTTTCATTTGATTTCAAGCACACTCCTAGGGGTGGAGTTGGATTGCAAATTCCTCAAGGATATTTTTGTTGCCGAAAAGAGTTGAGGGCAAGATGAAATGCAGCAAGCACTACCTTAAATGTGAACTGTCATTGTCATGCATCAGCTAGAGATAACTCCCTTTGAGGTACTATGGTCTCTTTATGGTATTTGGACTTTTGCAGCATCATTTACTCTACCCTCCCTAAATGTTTTGATTAATTCTTGAGTGGTGTAGCTAGTGCAAATATTAGGGGTTGCTTATGCCAAAAAAAGAATAGTTGAAATATGAATAACAAATACAGTGGCTTTATCAGAACCATTCTTTGATTATATAAACACCTTTCTTGGCTGCAGCTGCAGTCTTTGAATGAGCTTATGGGAAGCAAGAGGATGAGAAAGAAGATTATCTCCTCCTGGAAAAAGAAAGTTTTGCATCATTATTTATGAATCTGAAAAATCCTTCCTGGATAATGCAAAAAGTACAAAGCAAAGCAGATTCTTGTTCTTGATTCTGAGTTGCACAATCAGCTTGGTGGCTTTTCACAAAGGAACACTTGCTTTTATTCCTTCCCTTCTTAAGTTGAGATATCATTTCACAGCACATTCCACTTTTGGCAATATTTACGCAGGTTCATTTGGAAAGTAGATTAGAAATTGAAATTGCTAGAAGAACACCAAAGAAAAGATGCATGAGAATTTCACATTTTTTTGAAACTGGTTTGTGATGTCCTTTATTTGCATCTGAATCTATCTGTTTTCTTTTGCTTTATGTATGTATGTACATGTATGCACAAATCAAATTCTTTCTTGTTAAATCAGCACCAGAATCGATGGAGTGTTGCATGATACAAAGCCAAAATGATTAATCCTAGTAAATAGAGGATGCTTCATTCTAGTGTTAACTGCGGTCGGAGGTATGACAACTTACCCACTTCCTCCACGAAGCACATGGCGTGACACATGCAGCTGGCAACTAGTAAGAAACCTGCAGCTATCCCTCTAGCTATTTTGAATGTTGGAAACTCCTAGCACTCTCTTCGGTATGGGACCCAGAAGGAAAAGGCGTTGGGGTTTGCACATCTTTGGGTCGATGGTAGCTTGGAGACCTGCATGAGTGTATCAATGGTGTCATATTTATCTTCTAAAACAGTTACCTTTTTCAAAACTCAGACTCTTAGAACATAAATGTATTGTTACTAGACTTCAGATTTACATTTTTTTGCCCATAAATTAATTGTTAAACTTAAATGTTTATTTTTATACATTTACCTGGTAGGGTTCAATCAATATAAATTACAAATTCATCAATACATATACACACAAAAAAATTACTACTATAACTAATTAGCTGGAAAGGTCAGAGGACTCAATTGAAGCCAATAGAAAGTAAGAGAGGTGAATTTCATTTTCAGTGAAAGTGATAGGAATTAATTTGGAAATTGGACTCGTGTGAAAAGTAAAATGCTATATTTACCCAATTTCGCACACAAAAGTAAAACAACTTCAGAAGCAGTTAGGTTCAATTAATTAAATACATAAAATAAAGGGGAAAATTTTCCCCTCTATCATCTTTGTCTGCGTAGTTCTTTTGTTTTTTTTTCTTTGTCCTCCCGTTATCTATATTTACAAGAATGTCAAATATTATTATTTCTTTTATTTTAGTCCTTAATCAGATGTAGTCATGTACAGAGAATAAAATTATCACTGAAGAATCATCAAGAAGAGCACGATCTCACTATCAGTTTTAGGATATTGGCAAGAAATTGTTAGGAGATTACGAAAAGGACGACTCTGGAAAAAAAATAAGAGAAGAAAAAGAACCAGTTTTTGAAGGGGGCTGTAAATTTTGGCTATTGGTTCTTCAAAGTTGTTACCTTTTTGCAGAATTTCCAAGGTATTTCATCTTTTTCTATTGATTTTAGCTTCTGGGTATTCCTTAAACTTCCAAACTAAGTTCTGGGTATGTTGAAAATTTTGAATTTATCACTCTTTTAGTTCAGGGGTTATTGATTTTTTATATGTGAACTCGTGGGTTGTGAATAATATTGTATTTCACTGACTTTTTTCTTCGGGATTGGATTCAATTTTCAATTTTGAAGTGTTTGTATTTTGACTTTTATTAGGTTACTGACGACATTTAGAAGTAAAGAAGTTGTGGTTCTGAGAATTGAATTTACTGCCAGACTTTGCTTAGCCTTTCCTTGGGCAAGCTGAAGGGTTGTTTGCTGGCAGCTTGGAAGATTCTGAAATAGATTGGAAAGTAAGTGATGCCAGAATGTGTACAATGAGTTGATTTCTTTGTGTGGCAAGTTGACCATGTTTTTCTACCCTGAATTGTTGTTAGCGTGAAGCATATAGCTGCTTTGAGTTAATGACTGCTTCTCTATGCTTATGCTCTTATCTTTGTGATTGAAATTTATCATAGCTTATTTCATGTGATTATCTACAGTCATCCATTGTCAAATCATCCTAATAAAATGTAGGCAGTAGAAAAGGTTTAATTTTGAATCTTATGCATTGTGTTGTCTGGAATTCAACAAAATGTTGACTTGAAGCAATTGATGCAATTACAGTGTGTTTGGAAGGAGGGGTAGGAGAAGAGAGTAGAGTGAAAAAGAGTAAAAGCATTACACTATTACATTTGTAAGAGTTTTTTTTTTAATTTTTTTATTTCAACAGAGGGAGAGGGCCGAGAGCTTTGGAGGTAAACCACATCCCCTCAAAGCCTCCTTTTGATATTTCCTCAAGTTGGGAGGATTTTGGAGTAGTGTATTCCATTTTAATGATTTCAACCAGAGAACTCATTTTTATCTCTTGAAATTTATGTTAATGATGATTTTAAATCAGAGTACAGTGGTTGTAGTACATAAACTCATTACTTTACTGTACTCAACTCTCCAGTCCACTCTCAAATGAGGTTCAGGAGACTAGCTTCCTCTACTCTGTCCTCTTCACTTTTCCACTGGTTTACTCAACCCTCTTTTGTCTTCAAACATTCAAACATGATGTAAGTCTTCTTAGGTTATGTGAGTGATGATCGGAATATCTTAGTTTCATTTAGGTGCAGGAGAAACCCTAACGTTTATTTCTCTATAATCAGTTTGATCCTTATGCTGATTAATATGTTGAACACTTTTTCTCAAATATGTGGCGCCTCTATGTTAACAGGAAACCTAGCTCTTTAGGGTGTTGTGTAAGATTGTCATGCTGAATGTTGCTACCAGGTGGTGGATTAGGGATGAATTCTACGATGGATGATATGAACTTGATTCAGGCACAGAGGCATCTGGTCAGGGATCTTGGTGAGGAGATTGATTTGGAGATTGGACCTGGGGATGATGACCCTTCATTTGCCAACACTCCTTCTCTCATTGGTGGCCCACCACGAGAACCTTCTGCTGAAGAGCAGGATGAAAATAAGCAGATGGCAATGGTCTCTCAACTTCCAAATGATGATCAAGATACGTCAAAGGCACAAACTCCAAAAAGGAAGAAGAAGGTTGTGAAAAGATGGAGAGAGGAATGGGCTGATACTTACAAGTGGGCGTATGTTGATGTGAAGGAAGGAACAGCAAGGATATTCTGCTCTGTTTGTAAAGAATATGGTAGAAAGCATAGAAGGAATCCTTATGGGAATGAAGGTAGTAGAAATATGCAGATGAGTGCATTGGAAGAGCACAACAACAGTTTGCTTCACAAAGAGGCTCTTCGTCTCCAAATGGCCTCGAAGGATAAGATTGTTGTTGATAAACCCATTTATGTAAAAGGTTAGTCAGCTTAATCTGGCATATTTGGTATGTGGATTAGAATGATGTGAACTATGTTCATCATAAGCCATTAGATTTTGCTATTTTTAATTAACTTATGCAAAAGCCTTAAACTGTTTTTCATCTTGTTGTGAAGAAGCATTAACTATTAATATTATTATTAATTAATTACAAAGTGGTAGATTGCAGTCCTTTGCAATTATCTAGAGTAGGGAAGTTAAATCATTCTATCAAAGTACATTTCACGCAAAATCTCTGATTAATGCAATATACCATTGAATGAGCTGCTTTAGTATGTCAGCTGGACAACAAGCTATCAATGACCTTCATTAGAATTCTAAAGCTAGAGGTGTTTTGAATTCTTAAACATAAAGTATGATCGGGAGTTCAATCAGAAAATTTGTTCTTTTTCTCAAGCTTCTGATGGTGCATGATTAAAACTCTTAATAAGTGACAGAAAAATGGTTTGTCATCAGAGCGCTAAACACTGTGTTCTGGCATAGAACATACTTACTCTTAAGCATTACAATAGGTTATAGCTAGAGGCTTTTAAAGGATTGCACAATTCTTTATTCTTTTTAACTGCAGCATAAAGCATGATAAAATTATTGCATCTGTAGCAATAGAACTTGTCTGAATGAAGTACTGGAGGTTTTAACTCATCCTTATGTTTTTCTGAACTGAATAGCCCTGGGGTAAAATTTCATTTTGAATGATTTTCTTCATTATTTGATGCTAGCATGCATATATTGTACTGCACTGACTATTGCAAATGATAGTTTTATTTTCTTTTCTACCCTTGCAAGAGGATTAAAATCTAACCTTTGTATTCATTTCTGCTATACCTTCGAAAACTTTTCCTCAATTGAAGCTCTTATGTCCAAAACGGCTGGATCAATCATTGAAGCTGCACTGAAAAGGGATCCCCATGAGGCTGAGTTCATACAATCTGTACAAGAAGCTGTTCATGCTTTAGAGAGAGTGATTGCAAAAAATTCCCAGTGAGTTGTGCCAAAAGAAATTAAGTATATCTGATTTGCTATTCATATCTGAAGTAAAGAGTACTCAGTCAAATGCTCTACAGACCTCATCTTGCTGCATTTTACTTCAGTTATGTCAGCATTATGGAGCGCTTGCTAGAACCTGAGCGTATGATTGTTTTTCGAGTTCCATGGGTGGATGATAGAGGTGAAACACATGTCAATCGAGGCTTCAGGGTACAATTTAGCCAGGCACTGGGTCCATGTAGGGGTGGTATTCGATTTCATCCAACAATGACTTTAAGTATTGCCAAATTTCTTGGTTTTGAACAGGTACGTTCTGAACTTTCCATTTCATGTTAATTTACTTATTCTATATCTCATTGTCCAGATAGCAATTTTCTCAAGCTTTTCCTTTCCTTTAAGTGCATCCTAGGTATTTGGTGCTTATGGAAACTCCATAGTTGTTGGATAAGCCAGCTTCTTATATGTTGGCAGAAGATAAATAGAAAACAGAAAAATCTGTTTGATAGCTAATAAAATAACTACTTGTTCATAATGATAACAAAAATAAATGGGTAATGAAAACTTTGTTTGGCTTTTGTATATCTTGTAATAAGTGAAAATTTGTCATTTTACCTCTTTGCAGACGTTAAAGAATGCTTTATCACCCTACAAACTAGGAGGTGCCGCAGGTGGAAGTGATTTTGATCCTAAAGGGAAAAGTGATAACGAGGTTAGATCCTTTTTCATATTTTATTAATCTCCCTCATAAGAACCTTCTTAGAAACTCTAGCAATTCCTCTTACAGTTGTTTATGAAACCCACGCTGGCAGATCATGCGGTTTTGTCAAAGTTTCATGAATGAGATATATCGTTATTTTGGTCCTGACAAGGTAAGTAATGGAGATGCCTGCTGTTATATGCTTGAATATGCTCTTCTTAATGTGTAGCCCTGCATATCTGATTTTCCATTGTATATTTTCAGGACCTTCCATCAGAAGAAATGGGAGTTGGTATTCGAGAAATGGGATACCTCTTTGGACAGTACAGACGTCTAGCTGGTCATTTTCAGGTATTTGGAACACTTGACTTCTAATTTAGCATTCTTCAGTACTTGCTATGGGCTAATAAGTTCATAATTGCATATTTTAATTTCTTGAATATTGAATGAATGCTTGAATTGTTTTAAAGTCCTTACCCTTGTTTCTCCTTTCTCTTGTATTTTTTGTGTTTTTTATGGAACATGTTGCTGCGACTAAGAGTAATGAGTGCTTTGGAGGTTGAAAGTCTTCATACCTTTTGGATTACCACAAGTTTAGGAAAAAGATGAATTTATTTTGTTTTCTGGAGTGCTCCTTGCATGTAAAGCTGTCAAGTTTTGCACATGGTCCTTTGGTCTTCAAAGATTTGCACAGAATCAGAAAGACTAGTAAACTTGAATATTGTATAAGAAAATTATGAGACCTAAGTGGGTAAACTAACATTTTAGCCTTCCCACATGTTGTGTGTGTGTGTCTGTGTTTTTGTAAGTTTACTTTTCTGACACCTAAACACATCTGTTTGTGTTTGCAGATGGATGTGTAATTTTAGAAACAAAATTGTCTGTGTGCATATTGATATTTTAAAATGACTTTCTGATACTATGTATTCCTGGCAGAATTCAAGACTTGCTTTTGTGTTTGCAGACATTGCAGCCTATATGTCATTTAAGGATTTTAACAATTATAACAATTCCTATATTACTTCTATGAGTTGTTAGAGAAATGGAAGTTTTAAGTTATTCTGTAAGAAATCTGTTGGGAGGAGAAACCCAGAGGGAATTTTTATTCTCTGTTTTATGACTTATTATTTAGAGCCACCTATATACATATACATGTTAACGCTAAAACAACCCTAAAACAGGAAGTTATCACAAATATATAAAGCATGATATTAGGCCCTAGTAATCAGACACTGATACAAAATACAATAACTCCTCCCAAAAAACCTCTACCAAACACCTGTCAATACTCCCCCTCAAGCTGGTGTATAGATGTCACGCATGCCCAACTTGCAAACTAAAGTATGAAATGATCTGCTGCTATGTCCCTTAGTAAACACATCAGCTAGTTATTTTTCTGAGGTCACATGAGAAACATTCAAAAAACCATCTGTTATTTTTTCTTTTATGAAATGCTGGTCAATCTCTATATGTTTTGTCTGATTATGTTGAACCGGATTGTGAGCTATACTAATAGCAGCCTTGTTATCACAGAACAAGGATAGACATTACCCTTCTGACAATCACAATTCTTCCATTACTTTCTGCAACCATAATAATTCACAAACACCCTATGCCATAGCTCTATATTCTGCTTCTGCACTTGATCGAGGTACCACATTCTGTTTTTTGCTCCTCCAAGAAACTAAATTTTCACCTACAAATGTGCAATAACCAGATGTTGACCTTCTATCGTCAGGAGAGCTAGCCCAATCTGCATCTGTAAAAGCATCTATCTTTAGGTGACCAGCTTAGAGAAGAGCAGTCCCTTTCCAAGTGTGGATTTCAGGTATCTTAAAATGTGGAAAACAGCCCCTAGATGAGAATCTCGAGGTTCATGCATATATTGACTTACCAAACTTACGGCATAGGCTGTCTGTTCTGGTGTGTGAGAGGTCAATTAATCTCCCAACCAACCTCTGCTATCTGTCTAACTCAGCCAACTCTTGCTTGTAATTTGTGATTAGCTTCAATAGAAGAGTCTGTAGGTTTTCATCCCAAGATACGAGTTTCTTCAGGGAGATCCAAAATATATTTCCTTTGAGAAGTAAAGTTTCCCTTATCTGATCTGGCATCCGCTATTCCAAGGAAATATCACAACTTACCCGAATCCTTAATCTCAAACTCCTGAGCTAAAAGTTTTCTAAGTCGGGCAATCTCCTCCTTATCATTCCCAGTCACAACTAGATCATTGATATAAACAATAAGTAACCATTACAGTGTTTAATAAACAAGTAATGATCAGCATTGCTTTGATGATATCCAAATGAGATCATGGCCTTATTGAACCTATAGAACCATGCCTTGGGTGACCGCTTCAAACCATATACTGCCTTCTTTAATCTACAAACCTTCCCTTTAGTCTTCTTATTATCAAATCCTGGAGGAATTTCCATATACAACTCTTCCTCCAAGTCTCCATGTAGAAAGGCATTCTTGACATCAAACTGTTGTAGGCCCCAATGAAGGTTAGTTGCAGATGATAACATGATTCTGATAGTATTCATATTTGCAATAGAGCAAAAGTCTCTTGATAGTCCCCCATAGGTGAAGCCCTTCATGAATATAGCTTGTACCTTTCAACTAAACCATCTGCCTTATGTTCACTCTAAACACCCATTTGCATCCAATTGGTTTCTTTCCCAAAGGCAGAGTAACAAGTTCCAAGGTCTCATTGTTTGCCAAGTCCTTAACCTCTTCAACCATTGCCTCTTTCCATTCTGGATCATGATATGCTTCTTGCCAACCTTGTGGAATAGAAATGGAAGAAATAGACAATGCAAAGGCTCTATAGGAAGAAGACAAATAATTATAGGAAATAGAGTTAGAAATAGGAGGTTTAATACAAGCTTTGACTCCTTTTCTGATAGCAATAGGAACATCAAGATCATTAGCAATGGAATTAGAATTAGGACAATCAAAAGTTAAGGAGACTCACCACATGTATTTTTAGGGACTGAACTCAGAGATTATGCTTGACCAGGTATGACATACTGGATGGCTTTATTTGTCTTGTCTCGTCATGTGTAGGTTTTCAAATCTGGCCTATCCAATTGCCCAGTTTTAGGTTGTTCCTTTGCATCACTAGGATTTTGACAAAAAATCTATATAGGGGTAGGTGCTATCACCTCCACCTCTTCCTCCTTATTCTCCCCTTGAAGAGGTGATTGAGGTGTATAAAAGTAAGGCTTAGACTCCTTAAAGGTAACATTCATACCCATAAAGTACTTTCTTGAGGGTGGATGATAATAGGTTAAATTATACAATTAGTCCTTGTACTTTATAAAGAGAATGGATTTAATCCTTATACAATAATTTGTGTAAACTGGGTCTTACAATCCTTAAATCTAACACCATTAAATTTAACTGTTAAGTATGCTAACGTGACATTGACTATGTTGATGTGGGATAAATGTTGATATGGCACAATCTTGACATGACATAATGCTTATGTGTCCACATGAATTTAAGAAAAGAAATAACTAAAAGCACCCTAACCCTAAACTAAATGAGATATACAAAGAAATAAAATTAACAACCCAAGAGGGAGAATCAAGAGAAGGAGAAACAATTGGCTCTAGAATTGAATAATTGAAATTTAAGAAAGGTATGATCATGATTCTGGGCCTTGTTATGAATCTTAATTCTCATTGAACATAATTTCTGGAGAATTTTGGACAAGTTGAGAGATTTTGGTGGACAAAACATCAAGGAAGAAATGGAGATTTTGTAAGAATTTGTTAATATGTTTTTGGGTTCTAAATGGTGCAAGGCTGATTGGGCATAATTAGTTCTCTTGTAAATCCTCCCAATTCTTGTCAAAGTTTGACAAATTGCAGACATATTTGACTTTAGTTTTCTTTTGCGTATTTTTCATTGCTGGCTTTTGTTTTGTTTTGCAAACTAACACTAGCTTTTAGATTGTTGTAGGAAAGCCTTTAATACCCAATTGAATGTAAACTAGTTTTTTCAATAATAAATATTTTTTCTTGTTTTTCTTTTTTTTTCCTCTTTATTATTTTCAAAATTTTTTCCTTTTTAATTTATTTTTTCTTCACTTGAGTAAAAAAAAAATAGGGTGGTTCCCATGGGAGAAGATAGATTCATGTGAGGGTGCTTTTGTTAATTTTGTTTGTTTGTCTGTAATTCTCATCTAATTTTGGGTTAGGGTGCTTTTGTTATTTTTTTAAAAATTCATGTAGACATGTCAGCATTATGTGATATCAGTGTTGTGCAATGTCCACATTTGTGCCACATCCACATGACCATGTCACATCAACACATAAGTCAATGCCACGTCAACATACTTAGCGGTTAAATTTAACGGTGTTGGAGTTAGGGACTGCAATCTACAAATTCACAAAGTATAAGGGCCTAGTTTACACAAATTATTATACAGGGACTGAATTCATTTTTTTAGAGTACAGGGACTAATTGTATAATTTAACCATGATAACACTTATATCCCTTTTGAGTTACAACTTAGTCAACAAACACACATTTAAGGGCTTTAGGTTCTAACTTACCTACATTCCTTTTGTGAACAAAACACACACATCCAAAATTTTTTGGAGGAACAGTATATGAATTACTACCTTGTAGAACTTCTAAAGGACTCTTAAAATAAGTGTTTTTAGGGCATTTTGTTAATAAGGTATGCGGCTGAAAGTACTGCATCGCCCCAGTAAACCTTTGGAACATTCATAGTAAACATGAGAGATCAAGTCACTTCTAATAAATGCCTGTTCTTCTTTTCAGCCACTCCATTTTGTGCACTAGGGTCGACGCTGCTAGTTTGGTGTAATATACCATTGGAATCTAGATATGCACTAAACTCACCATCCATGTGTTTTGTAACATTGTTGGTTCTCAGAATCTTAACCTTGGCATCAAATTGTGTACAAATCATTTTGTGAAATAGTTGAAAACAAGAAAAAACCTCATTATTTGCTTCATCAAATACACCCAAGTTAATCTAGTACAACAATCGATAAAGGTAACAAACCATCTGTAATCGGATAGAGAAACTATTCGAGTAGGTCCCCATACATTAGAGTAAATAGTCATAAAAGGATAAGAATGTCTGCTCTGTTTAGCAAATTCACAAGCATCACAAAATAATGAATCAAGTTACATTGTTTAAACAAACTAGGATATATTCTTTCTAAAACAGAAAAAGATGGGTGTCCTCATCGTTAATGACACTGGATTTATTCTTGGTTAACATTCATAGATTCTCCTAACAGGGCTCGGGTTATACTAGGAATCAAGGTACTGCAACCCTCCTGTAGTAGATACAAGCGATCTTGCAATCTACCAATACCAATCGTTGTCCTTATTTTCAAATCCTAAAAAACAAAATGAGTAGAGAAGACTTCAATTTTGCAATCAAGTGCTTTGTAATTGAACAATCAGATAAAAGGTTAATAGGAAAACTAGGAACATGAAGGACTGAAGATAGATTAATGGTGGAAGTGCATTTAACAGAACCTGTTCCAGATAGAGTCTAAAGATCCATCCGCTATACGGACTTTATCATTGTCTGAATATGGAGAATAAGTTGAGAATTTATTGGAAGAGCCTATCATATGTTCATTTACTGCAAAATCTATAACCCATGAATTATTATGAGTATCAAGAGTGGCAAGAAAAAGCAGTACCTGTTTTGACAAAATTGAAGGAAGCAACTATGGTTGATTCAGAATCAAGCATAGATAAAAGACATCTTAGGGTTTGTACTTCTTCATTGGAAAGACTCCTAGAATTAGTTGTTTCTCTAGGTATTTCTACTATTTTAGATAGGTTTGCTTGTGGTTTTGTTGAGCCCATCCGTTTACCTCCACGACCCCTAGTTGGTCGACCATTCAGTTTCCAACAAGTCTCCTTAGTATGCCTTGGCTTCCCATAATAATCATAGTGTAAATGATCCTTGTTTGACGACCCTGGTTATTGACTTTCAGCTGCTCACGAAAGGAATTGGAAACTAACCCTGCCTTGTCTACTGAAACTGTGTATCATGGAACTTCTTCGACTTTCTTCTTGCTGCTCGTATGAATAGGTTTGCCTTAACGAAGGCAAAGGCTCCTTACCAAGTACTTGAACCCGTATTTGATCATATTCCGTATTTAAACCAGCAAGAAAATCATATATGCGCTCCTTTTCCACTAATTTCTAGAACTTTGCTGCATCTTTAGAACGTGCTGCTTGGAAATCTTGGTAATAGTCGAGTTCCTGCCATAAAACACTCAATTCAGCAAAGTATTGAGCAATAGTCATCTCACCTTGTTTCATCTCATGCACCTTATTCCGCAATTCATAAATCTGTACATCATTGCCCACTTGAGAATAGGTTTGAGATGCTGCATTCCAAATCTTAGATGCTGTATTTAGTAACAGATAACCTCGGGCAATTTGAGATTGCATGGAATTAAGGAGCCATGACATGACAAGAGAGTTTTCAGATTCCCACTTGTTGTAGGTGGGATTGGTGACCTCTGGTTTTTGTTTATCCCCAGTAACGTATCCTTGCAAACCTCTAGCTTGAATGAACAATGGACAAGATCTTGACCATGCAAGATAATTAGTTCCATCTAGCGTTGCAGGACTGATTTGTAATGAAGGATTCTCACCAATCAAACCTATCTTATTTTCAGCAGCTGTTTTCTTCCCATCAGCCATGCTTTGAAACACTGCAGGAAAAAAACACACAAACTCCTTGCTAAATAACCAGTCACGCAAGGCTTCTGGCTGCTGTCCAGGGTAGCAGACAAGATTTCCCTACTGCCGAGCGACAAAAACTATAGCTCTTTTAGTTGGCAGGCGCTCTGATACCATTTTGAGAGGAGAAACCCAGAGGGAATTTTTATTCTCTGTTTTTACAGCGACCTATATATACATATATATGTATGTATGTTAACCCTAAAACAGGAAGTTATCACAATTATACAAAGCATTATATTAGACCCTAATGATAAGAAACTGATACAAAATACAATAATTCCTTTCAAAAAACCTCTACCAAGCACCTGTCAACAAATTCAATGCAGAATGAAATTGAAAGGTGATCTTTTTGTCTTCATTTTATTCCTTTCTTTTGCAGGGAAGTTTTACAGGCCCAAGGATATTTTGGTCAGGTTCTAGCCTTCGGACTGAAGCAACTGCTTATGGGCTGGTAACTAATATCCCATCTCTCCTCAATACTACTTGAGTGTAGGTAGGTCATAAATATCGGGGTGAATGTATGGATGACTGACTTTGCCCCTTTGCGTCCAGGAAAGATTCTTATTCTACTTCATTGTTACAATGTTTCTCTTTGTAGTGGGTGCGGTTGTTTCCATGTGTACATCTTTGTCTGATAGCTTGGAATGATAAAGTTCCCATGCTTCTGCAGGTTTTCTTCTCCCAGCTCATTCTTGCAGAGATGAATAAAGATATCAAAGGACTGAGGTTACTTGCCAATTTTTGACATTCATTACTTGCTGGACTCAGAAAGCATATTGTTGCCTTGTGTATAAGTTGTAGTTCTTTGTGATTTTTTCCCTGATTTTTGCGAATATAAAAATGTGGAATTTTCTCTGGTGAATAGCTCATGGTCTTTTTTCTTTTGAAAGACCTGTTTGTTACTTGATATACCAAAAATGTTGATTTATCGCAATTTTGAAGTCCAGTGACTACTGGTAGTTGCTTCCCTAAATTGTTCACATGAATATATTTTACCTTGAATCTTCCTTCAGATGTGTTGTAAGCGGTTTTGGAAAGATTGCAATGCATGTTCTGGAAAAGCTTGTTGCTGTTGGTGCTCTTCCAATTACAGTATCAGGTAATCTCAATTCCACATTGGATATGTCAGAAAATTCATTACTTGTAATGTTGCTTTGCACTTGTTATGTAATTATTGTTACAGAATTCCTTTGGTTTTATTTATCATTCTGGCTTTGAAGATTTAGTCACTCAGCAGATTTGAATAATTTCTGAAAAATGCTTGTACTGAGGTCAAATGAGCTTTCTTGCAGAGAACATACTAATTTGCCTTTTGTTCCTTTTATTCATTTTGCCTTTTACTGACAGTTGCACTCGCACCATAAATTGATGCATTAGGGATATTAGTTGGTCTATTTCTTGTTTGCAAGTGTATTAATCATGGTAATCTGGTGCTTATCACTTCCACTTTTCTATTGTGCATGAAGGATCTTAGCCATCCTATTTTGCATCAGAAAAGTGCCTTACAATGGCATTCAAGTTCATTTTTCATGGCTTTCTTTTTTTTTTTAACTTCCAGGTTCTTTTTACATTGCTTGATATTTAGCTCATCACTTGCCTTTTTTTTTTCCTTTTTGGTAATACGGTCAAAGGTATCTCTAAGTTTTACCTGGACCTAATCCCCTCCTGGTGATCTTATTGGCACACTCCGTTGCTTCCCCTTGGTGCATTCAGGATTTTACTCCCCGAGTGCTCCCTGCACGAATCGAACCCTGCCAACCGTGATTGGCAAGGAAGATGATTACTTGTGTTTTTTTCTTAACCTTTTACTTGATTTAGGAAAATGATCTAGAGGACACTAAACATACAATAGTTCAGATGTGATTGTTTGATGTGGTTTTGTTCTATTATATTTGACTTTTCAGTCTGTGGAATGAAGCATGAAAATGCAATTATTCGTAACTTATATGATGTGTAGGAACCTCAGTGAAACCAAATAAATTTGGTGGCACATTCATTGCAGTTAAGATCTTAGTATACAAAAATTGTTTGAAACAGCTGTTTCTATTGAATACTTCTTGTAGTCACTTGTGTTTTTCTGATGTGTCGCAGATTCAAAAGGATATTTGGTTGATGAGGATGGATTTGATTATATGAAAATATCATTTTTGAGGGATCTCAAAGCCCAACAAAGAAGTTTGAGGTGTGTTTTCTTCACTGTCATTTCCATACTTTAATGTAATTGCATTTGTTTTAGTGATTCTTGAGAGCTGCTATTATCATTTTGAGTATGCAGAGATTATTCAAAGACTTATGCTCGGTCTAAGTACTATGATGAGGCAAAACCGTGGAATGAAAGGTGTGATGTTGCATTTCCCTGTGGTTCTCAAAATGAAATTGACCAGGCTGATGCCATTAATTTGGTTAATTCAGGTTGTCGTATACTTGTAGAAGGTAGTAGTCTGTCATATGATGAGCATAACATTTTAGTATCTTTCCATCCCAAAGAATAATAATTTAATTGTATTAGCTAATAGTTATTACATGTTCTTGTGATATTCCTAGGCTCAAATATGCCTTGCACTCCTGAAGCAGTTGATGTATTGAAAAAAGCTAATGTTCTCATTGCTCCTGCCATGGCCGCTGGTTCTGGAGGGGTGAGAACTTCACTTTATCCATCTTCATGATGAAATTAATTTTCATTACATAAATAGGTTTAATTATGATATTTTGGTTTCGTCAGCTTTCATGCAAATGCAAAATATGCTTGTTTTTCCTTCTGAACAAAAGGCATGTTCATGAAATATATTCTATAATGATATGAGAAGAATATTCAAATCCATATGTGGATGATTAAAACCTCAATTGTTGTGAGGGTAAATGTATACATTTTTCAGAAGCATGATGTGCTCATATCTGATTCTTCTTATTATGCTGTATTGGAATGTGATGCTGTCAAAGGGAAATGCAGAGCCATCAATTTCTCACTTTGATAGCTAATGAATTTATTTTGTCTCAAAGATGCGAGAGAAAATTGAAGATAAATTATGAAGTTTATAAGAAACGCAGCAAATTCCAATAGACAAATTGGTCCATTCTCTTTGACAGGAGAGTCACTTTTTAAGAGTAAATGCCAGATATACTGATCTAGGATGATGAGTTATGGCTAAGTTTGTAATGCCTCTGAGTTTGCAGACTGGTCTCAATGAATATCTCTGAATAGCCAAATATGTTGCATATTGTGGCCAAATATTTTGGAAGTGGATGGATAAGCTAAGACCATTAAAAATGTGTCTTTACTCATCCATATTGGCATGAATTTTTATTGATTTTTTCTATTTATAATTTTACCGTATTTTCTGATTCCATGATGCACTTGATTACAGGTTGTTGCAGGAGAAATTGAGCTAAACCATGAGTGTAATGTAATGCATTGGTCACCAGAGGATTTTGAATCTAAATTACAGGTAAGATTGATATGCGTATCTTTGTTAATTGGTGTGTTATTCCAGAAGTATTACTACTATGCAACATCCTATTGCAAATTGGACTTATTCTAGAGCAACATTACCCATTATCTGCTTCAGTAGAAGCCATGCCTTTACATACCCTACAGTGAATCCAATTATATAGCAGCTCAACTCACTTGGTAATAGTCAATTGTTGATAAATGTGTGAATTTAACATAAAATACCATCTATAGTGATTTGAGTGTTGAAATTGCAAATATTATTTCAGTATGATACTAGTGAATTGGAGTTGGCTTCTTTTGGGTTTACCATTGTAGCTCACCTCAGAATTCTTCCCATTTAAGTTGACAATTAATTTTATATCTACTTATGACCACATTTGGAGAGAATTCTTTTCTTTGCGCATCAACTTGCAGGAAGCAATGAAACAGACATTCCATAGAGCTCTCAAAGCAGCAAATGACTTTGGTTATCAAAAAGAAAGTCCTGAGTAAGTGCTTTTGCATGTTAGCACTTTCATTGTAGAATTGAGAAAGCAAGGTGAAAGCTTTTCCTCATATTTTTTTCTCGTTAGTGAAAGGTATCATGAATAAAACACTAGTGTTTATGTGCTGCTGATCTGGTGTTCTGGCCATATTCTTTCACCGAATTGCAGTCAGACTGTTCCTTATTATAATTGAAATCATTTCTACTGTACATATTATACAGTTGTCCTCTGGACCAAAACCATTCTATATTATGGCTATTTAGAGACCATGCCTTATACTTTTCCTAATGGGGTTGGCAGGCTTCTTCATGGGAAGGTATAATGGTTGGTAATATATTGCTTGAGAACCTAATATGTAGACTGATGTTGTCCTTCCTAACTTCCGATAGATCTATCATTCACTTTCTTTTTTCATTATTGTTTAACAGGGCTTTGCTGCATGGATCAGTCATCTCTGCTTTTCTGGCAATTGCTCAAGCCGTGACTGATCAAGGATGTGTATAGAGAAGAAAGATGTAGACTTATATGTATGTGCACCAAAGCTGATTCTTGTGTGGCAGGCCCTATGACAATTGGAGAATGCACTCCATAGCGGGAAACTGGAGCACTTTGTTAACTTTATTGCATGGGTTTCCAGATCTCGATCTTTGAATTCAATGGCAGGAAATATTGGAGATATGACAGATCTCTTTGTAACATACATGTAATGCATTAGTCAAGACTTGGAAAAGAATGACTTGTTTAGACTCTTATTGGATTAGTAATTGGGGAGCAATGTGTCACAGTTGTAGGGCTGGAATAGAAATATTTATTCTTGGCCTGCAAGAGTTGCCTATAAAATTTAGCTCAGTACTATCAACTATGAAATACATTGACAGCAACATTGGAAATAAAATTTATTATTCTTGCAATTTTAATTCTTTTTCCCCTGTACTTTCTTTTTTCCTTGTTGCTGATGATCACTGAAATTGTTTAATCCCTCCTTAAATTGAGCGCCCCTGCATACTACTGTTAATTGGCGTCGAATGACTTAATTCAGCATACTAGTTTAATGCTAATCTAGACAGAATAAAACTAATGCAACCAAATCAAATACTAGACACCACATCCTAAGCACCAGCAAATGGATGTTTTATCCTAATAAGAATTCTAAGGCAAGAATGATCATGCACAACGAGGAGCAGCAGAACAAAGTTCCTTGATGTGAGGACCAAAGTAGTCATTAATGAACGGCGGAATCAAGCGATAAAAGCAATCTTGGCTCATCCCAGTGATTGCCTTGCAACAAGCTGGTCCAACATTTGGCTTGCTAGTCCAAAACGCCGTGACAATGTCTACAATGCAAGCATCAATATCTTGTAAATGTGACTCACATGGCTGAATTTCAATAGTAGGCCTGGATTGCTTGGGAGGAGTAGAAAGATTGGCAGAAGATGGAGATGTGGTGGTAAGAGGAAAGAATGGAAACCAGGGCGTCGAGAGTGGCAGTGTGGCGCTAGGGAAGTCTTGATGACACTTCCATGTGAACTTGTCACGGGGCGATTCTTCAGACCACCTTCC